TTCAAGGGCTCCTTTAAAGGTTCTTTCAAGGGCTCCTTTAAGGCTTCAATTTAAGGTTTCCTTTAAGGGCTCCTTTAAGGGGTCCTTAAGGGTCTTTGAATGGCTCTTTAAGGGTACTCTGAGGGTCCGGCCGAAGGTTTAAGCAGAAGAGCTGCCTAATGCTGTGGGGACACGAAACACACACTAACCCTAAGGGTCCATATACTCATGTAGTATATACATTGGCCCCAAAGTACCTACATAGGGACCACTTTAAGGCCAAAGTATGTACTATTTCGGCACATGGACCCTTAGGGTCACGTCTTGAATTACTACGCGTACTGTATGCAACCTGCTCCGGGTCATGCAGAAAAGACGTTCTAGATTACATACCCGCCCACCAGGATTAACAGAAGTTCGAGATGCCCGAAACTATAAACCGTAAGAATTTGAATCGGAGACGGGCATGCTGCCGGAATGAAAGTCTAATGGCCTTGGGGCGGGGTTGCGGTCTAAAGTGCCTCATTATTGCTTGCATTCTATTCGTTCCGGTATTATCTAGGTCTAAGTGGTTAAGGGCTCAAGAGAGGGGTTACTGAAAGGGTGGGATCTGGACAAGGATTTCGGAACGGCTCAGGGCCCGCAAGCTGCCAAGAGCCCTATTACCTCAACAGCTTAGGCAACGGGCCCCCGCGTGACAAACCCACACCAGACCACGGCGTGCCCTGGGCCCTACCTGTAGTAGTCAAGGACGTTCCAATCTCGACGCCACATGGCAGTGGCCTTGCAAGGTCCGCACGGACAGGCAAGAAAGAAGACGGTCTGTGTCGGCAGATCCCAATCTCCTCCAACCGCACGATCGCTTCCTTGGCGTCGAACTGCGCCGCCACGAGATATCTACGGAGAAGCCCTGGATGCATGCAAGCCCAACCAGCGCTCTGTACTAAGATCCAGTATGGCATGTGGCCATGAGAGCCATGCACCTTGAATGTCAATGGTGAAATACGGATCGTCGACGACGGCAGGGTAAATGCCAGCCTGCCTGCAAACGTTCACATTTTCAGCACGACATGCTGCTGCCCAAGACGCCCATGAAGCTTGCCCTTAATCGGATGGCTGGTGCAGCAGAAAGGCAGACGGTCGTGGAGAACGGCCCACTGCCTCATCGCCGTACTCAAAACCAGACAACAAAAAGGCAAACAGCAGAGTTTCCGGTGCCTCTCCATCTCGGCTAGAAGTTCTTGCCGATCTGCTGATGCAAACCTGAAGCTGAAAGCTGCGCGGCTGATCTACATGGGAGTTGCAAGTGGAGAGGTCTGGGTCCTCTGTTTCAACCAAAGCACTCCTGGACACTGCCTGGGTCGTCCTTGGCCGCCGCAGGTGTGGGCGCAGACGGTGAGCCTGACAGGCAATCTGCCGAAGGAGTCCATTGGAGGCCGGTCCAGGGTTTTGGTTGAGTTGCTTCTACCAGCCTGCGGCAGGCGAGTCTACTGTTCCAGGTGACACCAAAAGTGCTGGAAGGGGCGGCGAAAGGCGAATGGTGTTCTGGGAAAACCTTGCTGCTACAGTTCGATACATGCGGGCTTCGCAGGCACACTCCCACTTTCCGGAAAGGCTCAACCCAGCGGCGCATTTCACCGAGCAGCCTGTTTGATTCAGTTCAAACGGATGATCCCAGGCAAGACACACACACACACACACATGCATTCATTTTCGAGGTCGAAGCGGCCAGACGGCAGCCAGCACTCATGTCAGACGACCTACACTGCGCCAAGCCCCAAACCTGCGCTTCGGAAGGGGTTTCCCAGGAAGGACAGCGCCACCGCGATGTGGCCAATGCCGGCAAAGCCCAGGACTAGCGCCACAGGTGCCCAGATACGCAGCCTGACAGCACTGCGAAGGCTGCAAGTGGAAAAAATCCTGTGCATGCTGCCAACATGGCGCACTTGCTCTGCAGAATCAAGGCCACCTTCGCTTTTGGCGCTGGTGCATCCACACACTTCGCTGCCCCGTGGCTGCGATTGGGGTTCGTGGAGCTGTTTCCATGGCGGCGCGTCGCATGATTGATTGCAAGACGCCTGCACGTGCACGCTGCTGTCGCCATCAGTGCTGCAAACACTTGGCAAATACCTGAAGTGTGTCGAGGCAACTCGGTCGCTCCGTGTGCCTAAAGCAGCTTGAGCGAATGGGTGCGAGAAGGATCGTGGGTCCGAAGCTGTCGCAGCAAGCAAACCGGTCTACCCGAGACGGTTCCGGCAACTCGACAGCAGCTTACTTGCTGGAAGGTTCGGGTTGCGGAACACCGCAAGGACTGTCTTGAAGTATATTGTGCTTTGTCTTAAAACCCCAAACTACGAACAATAAAGCAAGAGTGCCCCTCTACACCCGTGCCCTGCCGAGAGCAGAGCATCTCATCCACTGGGAGATCTGCCACCTTGGGATGACACGAACGGAGGCGGAAACCAAGAAAGAGGATTCCAAAGGCAATGGCATCACGCAAGACAAAGATTCCACGACCTCTGGAAGATGCATTCGGCTTCACCTCATTCTTTGCATGGTGGCTCCACGAAGGACTGGGACGAATCATGCCAGATCCGACCGGTACACAGCTCGGCCAAACACGATCCACAGACCACCCTTCTTTTGGTAGCAGTCCAGGAACTCCTGTGCAAAGGAACTTGGCCTCGCCGCTGCTTTGAGTGCGGCGATCCGGCCTGCATCTGGCCAGGAAGCACCTGATTCTCACGAAGGCTGGGCTGCTGAGCTGATTTCAGATCTGGAGTGGATGGGCCGGGCTTTTGCAATTCTGTCTGGGCGTATGCTGAATGTTCCAAATTCCTGGAAGGGCTCCACCTCGACCCACCCCCTGCTTTATGCTGATGCAACTGCAGCAGACGCTCTCTCAATGCTTGCGTAAATGTTCCCCACACTCTCCAGAGGTTGTCTTCGTCACCTGCTGGTGTATTTCGCTCGCAACGATCGTACCCTACAGTTCTATCAGCCACGCGGGGGAGGACAGCCTGCGGCCTTCACAGGCGAACCTTGCAGCGTCAAGCCGAAGATACCCAGATAAAGAAAACGCACATGGCTGTGGCTTCTGGGCGGAAGATTTTGGCAGGTAAATCACTGCGGAGGCCATGTTTCTCACAGAAGATGTGAAGCACGCCCCTTCCGCGCCATTTGTAGGGGTGTTTCAGGTCGAGATGCACATCGCTTCACCAAAACAGCATGCTGCATTTCACAGACAAGTGAGGACTCTGGCGGGCGAATCGACCCTTGTTTGAATGTTGCCATCTTGAAAGAAAAAACAGCAGGCTCCTCTTTATGCATGCACTCTCGACCTGGCTTCAGCAATATCACAAAGTGTTTCAAGTTGGTCTGCGGGTGATGCCAAAACATGAGAATCCGGTACATCTCTCCGAGCGGTTTCCTGCAAGTCGGGTCCTTCTTGCATGTCGTTCCCCCGACCTCTAGCATCCTCCATCGGAGAGTCTCCTCAGGTGCCTGAACCACCATACCTGTCCCAAGAGCTTTCATGACTGGGGTCACCGCAAAAGTCTGCGGCACGAAGTCGAAAGCATCACCGAAGGTTTGCGCCTCATACATCACAGAGCATCTTGCAGAAACCTCCACAAGATCCAACCAAATTACAGAAGCAGCTCCAGCTTTTCTGGGGTTCCCACCATATCTCTAAAATTCATCCACAGGCGGTCCTTGCGAGTGAGCTCGGTGGACCTGAGTGGTCATGGTCTGGAAGGAACAACTTGACAACAAACTTCTTATATATTTCTCCGAAAGAAAGATCGCCCTTACGCCGCTCGGCACAGGATCCGCCTGGGCCCGCGAGCCGGAGTCCGGCGGAGAGGGACGGCGAGAAAAACAACTCAAAAGCCACGCGATGCCGCGCGCGGGGTTCCGAAGCAAAACGTCCCAAAGCCCACAAGTGGGAGAAGATGCAGGAAAGGGACTCAGACGGCGAGAAATCAAAGGTCTACAACATTCTACATCGTTCCTGTGGCCCCAGGCCCAGGAAAATGGTTGACGCGCTGGAACTCGTTCATGTCCTGGCGCAGGGTTTAGGGTTTAGGGCGCGGTTGTCGACTCGGAAAACTGCGACCTGGTAGGCAGAGTCGCGGAGGCCCGGGCCGGACCACTGGACGAGCCAGTCCTCGCGTCCGTCGATTCAGCTGCTGCATGCAGCTTCATGCAGCTTCATGCAGCTGCCGAGGTCAGTCCCGGCCAGTTGTCTGCGTCATGCCGTTGGTCAGGAGGGTATCTCTAACCACAGGAGCCTGCAGAAGGAGACCCTGTCGAACATTGCACAGAAGAAGCGCGCCTCCGTGTGCTCAATTCGGAAGGACGGTGTAAGCAAGGAGGAGCCTCAGGTCTGGCAGCTGTGCATAGCGGCATAGCGTAGGTGCAGAGATCTCTCAGGACTCCGGGACTCCCACAGATCTTATTGATGGACTCCTCTCGGGCGCCAGGGTGCCGGGAAGTGAGCTGGGAGCTGCCTCCCTACCCTGCCTTCTTGAGCTTTGTCTGAGGCGCTTTGAAGTGGAGGACTCCCAGCTCCTGCGAAGACCGCAGGAGCTGAGACGCACTTTTGCGGCACAAAGGAGACCAGTCCGGTCCTCCCACTCGGAACCCAAGTGTTTGACCTGCTAGTTCTACTGTACGAACTTGCTAGGGGATGTCTGAGCATTTCAGCCTGTTTCCTTGGCTCAAGGTCCGTGCCCAAGTCTTCATAGTAACATGTGAGATTATCATGGGAGGACGGAACAGACTAAGTGAAGCATGAATCGGTCGGCTGCCTTCGATTCTCCGACATGACTCCAAGGGTCCGGCAACTTCGCGAAGACTTTCCCGAGCTTGAGCAGCGATGTGGGCCTGGAAACAAGCCGCGTTGAAAAGGGTGGCAGGCCGTGTTTGAGCACAACATGGCACGCAGTCCGACTGTTCGCTGAAATCACAAAGAATGACCAAGATGTTATCTCACCGCACTTTCCGAACTGGACTCTGTAATGTTGCTGCCGCTTAAAAGGCCGGCTCATGTGATGCTGCAGGGCGGGATTGTTTATGTGCCAAGGCAAGCTAGGACCGCATACTGCAATTGATGGACAGACCGTGTTCTGCTTGAAAGTGACTTCCACTGTTTCGAACGGAACAATCCTACATTAAAATCTGCTACCATCTGCACGCACACCAAAGTCACACCGTCCTCGGAGTCTTCATGGCCGTTGTCGTCATCCGACTCATAGCCTACACAATGCGTCGGGCTGAACGAAATTGCTAGACAACCCAGGCTGGCATCACAACCTGGCACATGCGGCCAGAACCTTCCGGCACCGGGATCCATCCTGCTAGCAAGTGCAATCCCAGCATGGTACAGTTCGGTGCTGTCACAGAACGGCTTGGACCTCCGCCAAGATATTGCCGAGCACAGCGAAGGTCTACTTTGCCATCGGCGTTCGTATTGTCATCCACACTGGAATTGTGAAGAATAGAACGGATGCATAGCAGCCTGTTTTTAAATCGCTGCCACGGCACTAGTTCATAGATGAGGTTGATTCGTCTTCGCAACTGTCATCAATAAACCCCCGCAGTCTGGAAGTTTGCTCAGTTGTGTCGTACCATGTTGTGCTGTAATGTCAGGGGCTCCTGGAAGCAGAAAAACCACAATGAAAGGCTTCGGTCGCAGGCTGGCAGTGGCTCCTACGAAAGCTTAGCCGCAGCTAAACTCTCATTCTATTTGAAGCAGTGTCGGCATGTCAACAGCACAGTTAATGGAAACAAGATTCAAGCCTCTCCACCGCCTCCATCCGGACGTAGTCTTAGTGGCAGCCGCGTCAGCTGTCGTAGCATTCGCAGCAGCGCAAGAAAAAGTCAACCACTCACTCGCTCCTTCCTTCCTTCCTTCCTTCCTTCCTTCCTTCCAATCATACATTAGTTAATGCGTTAACTCACCCTGATGGTTTGTTCTGTTGAAACTCAACTGAATCGCACATGCATTCGAAATTCGTTCTCTGCCCTTCCAATTTGAACTCACTACACTCATGTCTGTTCAATCATCTCGTTCACTTCGTTCAATTCTTACAACTCGTACATTACAACTCAGTCAACTCGGCTATGCCATCCGATCGGTTCTTTCAAGTCATGCGAACCTCTCACTGACAAAAGTTTGATCAACAAGTTCGGCCGTTTGCTCATTGCAAACGTATGTTACTAATCATTAGTGTCTTCTTTCATCGCATGCCTTGTTATCTAACGTCGCTTCATTTCGTATAACATCATACAGTTTCACATTGCTTCATCTCATGTCAGTTCGCCCACTTCATTCCGTGTCATGTCTTTCCAAAGGTCTTTCCAAAGATGAAATGAACATCATACTTACAGCCTTTCACCAATCGAAATCATTACGTTCGTTTCCGTCTAAGCTTGTTCAGTATTCGTCGTTTCAAAAAGTCACAGTCTCTAGCAATCTGGCTTCGTTGGACACTACCCAACTTCATGTCATCTTTAGTCGGCGAGACATAATACTACTCACGCCAGTTGAGTTTCGGTGACAGATGTGAATGTTGGAGACATTTTTGTCGCAGCCGCCTGCTTAGCACGAAAAACATGACGACAGGACGACGCAGTGCAAGCGGAAAGACTTTTTCGAGTTGTCTTGCCAAGTGCCTTTGTCCAGCGCATGCGCGCCTCAAGGTTGCTGAGGCCTCTTAAAGGGGCCTACGGCAGACAGCAGCTCACACTAACGACCAATCACAGTTGTTCAGTCCTAGATCTTCTAGGATGCTGATCAGAATCCCAGAAAATCTTCTGCATGTCTGCACACTGAGAACCTGCTTTTGCAAGCTCGGATCTACCGTCTCTTTTGCCCAGAATGCAGCCAGCACTAGTCATGCATGGGTGGATCAGAAGCGTGATGATGCTGTGCAGCTACCTTATTCTTTCCTGAATCTTCAACGACATTCCTGCTCTTAGGAGTTTGGTCTTTGTTCTTTCGGAAGTGCTCGCAACTACACCTGTACACGCAGGCAACTGGCTGCAGCCTTCTGGGGCGCAAGAAAGCAGTCTCAGGACTGATACTCTCTTCGTCACCCTGGCTGCGGGACTGCACCTTAGAGCTTACCAACAGCTGCGTTCTGACTTTCCGAGCTTAATCGTTTCCATGTCAAATACACCACGTCTCATGACCTGCAGGAACGATTCTGACAACTGCTTCAAACTGAGTTGGGCCACACATCTCCAGCAATTTCAGCTGCCGCCCACCTGGCAATTCAAATTCAATATCCGGGCCAAGCCTTGAAAGCGAAATCGCTGCCAGCCCTTTCTGTCTGGGACACAAGCAATGATGTTGTTGATCGGGATGAAAACCAGCTTCACAGTGTAGCCTGGCAGAGTTGGCTAACAAAGCGCGCTGGGCTTGGGCGAAGCATCGGTGGGTCTGGAATTTCTTCATGCTAAGGCCTCACTGCAAGTCAGATTTCGCGCCTTGTGTGTAGACGTGCTGGAATTTCACAGATTGAAACCGACCGGAATAATGGAAAGAGCTAGAATGACCTGTGAGGTTTGAGGCATGTGGCGGCAATGACATTAGGTTTTGTGTTCTTATCTGCGGCTTGTGCTGATGGTATCCACTCCTTTTGTGATTCAAGGCCTCGGATCGCCCAGCTTTTCGCTTTCCTATCCTCACGGCTTTGCGGCTTGCTGGTTTGGTCACGATGGTTGTGCTCCCAATTCTGGCTGCAGGCTCTTCAAGCCCTTATAAAGTTGAAAAGAGCCTTGTGATCGCCTTGTGGAAGGATCGAAACCCAAGGGACGCTGTGATGAAGGGATCCTCACGGGATTCGGAGTTTCTACACTGTAATGACCCGTGTGTACAGCCTATAGAAAACTATTTGTTGACATGCAAGCAATGAAGAACGACATGCGACATGCAAGCCAAGAAGCCTGCTGTGGCTACACCCGTAACGTCGGCGAGTTGACAAAAGCAACGCAGCAGTAGCAGTTTCTACAAACACAGCGAAATGCTGTCTGTCTAAATCCACCATTGTGTGTCACGTTCCTCTTTGCTTACCTTCATGCATCCGTCGGTCCTGCCCTGCAAGTCTCACGGGGTTCCGACATAACCAAGCTTGACCACAGAGCAGAGTTTCAAAAGTGACCAAACAAAGCGAACTGTGTCATTCTTGTGTGCAGAAGGTAACTTAACTTTCGTTTGTTGCGAGCTGTCCAGCCAAGCCCATGGCCGATGAATCCCATGATGGAGAATCCAATTGCGCAGGCAACCGCAATCTTCTTGAACTCCTGAGTGGAAAAGAAGCACTACAATCTGTCCCGTGCAGAAATGCTCGCATCGCTCCTTTGCATCAGGTTTGGTGCAACGCTGGATGAGTCGTCGAGAGTCCATACCAAACCTTTCGCGGCTGCTGAGGTTAGAGGCAGCCGACGTCTGGCCAGACCATCACATGAAGGAAAAGAAAAAGCAGTTGCACTGAGGCCACCGACTCGATAGCACCCTGCACGCAGTAGCCTTCCAAAACTACGATCCGCCGAGCTTGAAACTCTCCAAAGATGGTCCAAGGCCAGGGCCGACGGGGTTGTTCTTGTCCGTGAGGAAGGGCATCGCCGACCTCGGGCGTGCGGGATGAGTCAGCTGAGTTCGGGATGATGAGATGCAGAGGCCAGAGCAGCTTCGCCGCCATGTCCACTTCAGCGCGTCTCCAGGATGAGTCGGGGCAAAACTTGACAGAAGCCTGCTCTTTTGAGCCGTACGCAGTGAATAGCGAGCCGGGAAGGGACGAACCCGTGCCTCTGCCAAAGGACTTTACAACAAATGTTGCCAAGATAGGTGCGATCATGGCAGACCTAAACCCAGCACCCAGCACTCAGCGCAATCACAAGCGAGATGGAGACGGCAAATCTGCGAACAGTGGATGTGACACTGAGTCTCCACTAGACGATTGACTGCAGCACTAGATTCGCTGTCGATGTGTGATCTTCTACCCTTTTCATGATGTATGTACTTCTGGCGAAGACGCAGGTAGCAGTTGAAGTGACTAGACTTTGCCTCTCGAAAATGTCCCGATGTTTGTCGGATGCCACACACGTGAACAAATACATGCATAAGTAAACCCTCAGCCCCAAATAGGACCCGAAGGCTTTGCATCAAATGGATGCAGGTAGGTTTCAGCCAGCAACGGTAATGCACGTTCATTGTTTTGACACACGCTAGGAGCTGTGCAGAATCATCCCGGAGGTGAAAAGCAGTGCGATTCCGAACAATCAGCGGAGTTGGCTAGCCACACCTGCGAAAAAGTCTTGCCGTTCAGTTCTGTCCTGCGTCGGCAAAAGCCTGTCGATTATAAATGTATTCGGGAGTTTAGTGACATGAAAGGCAGCATACTTCATGAGTTGCTTCATGTCTCCAATACCACACGCTAGAATCCAAACCGTCTTTTGGTTCTTCCGTGCCGTCCTGTTCTGCCCAGCCACGCGCACAAAACAATAAAATGTACAACTGCGACTTGGACTGGTAACTGACGGGACTGACAAGCAACTTGCATGTCACAAAGAACTCAACATTACAGCAATAAGCTCTTTGAGCTTTGTTTGCCGGGGGCCTAGTCTCAAGGCCGGAAAACATGCACACACACACACACACACTGCGGAATGTCCAGCATATTCAAAAGGCTGCGAGGGAGCATGCAGAATAAAGGACTGCATGGACTGCAGCATCTGTCAGACCATAAACTGGTGAATGACTGGCAGCTGCCTTGGGCAACGCGCAGGGACCGACCGCTGACATCAAGCGCGGCTGTAAAAGCGCCGGACCACCACCCCCTTGGCAGTCGTCCTTTCTGTGCACATTTCATGACCTTGCATGAAGCGCTTGAGAATCACCGGAACGGCGGACACATGCGCACCGGACTGAAATTGCTCGGAGACAAGTACATTCTCAATCCAACGGGTCTTCTGTCTGAAGAGTAGCCCGTCGGGATCCAAAACTTCCTGCTCGTCGCCATCTGCCTTGATGACGCACCTCTCTTCCTTGGGCGCACCGGTCGACACCACGAGGTTGACGACGACCAGTTCGTCGGAATTTTGCACGATGGTTTGGGTGTGCTTTCCAACACCATACCCGACACTGGCAGCCAGCTTGCGCATCATCCAAGAGGTCCCTCGCTCCCGAAGGTATGCGTCCCAGTCCTCTACAGCTGCTGTCCTAACAATCTCCTAATTCTAGCCTCTTCCGAACCAGCAAAACAAGAAATGCACTCAGACATGGACTCAAAGTCAACAAGGAAAACATTAAACCTAATTAAGAAATTTCCCCGACACGCCCAGCGGTTGAGCAGCTCCCACTGTGGCGCCGTGCACATTTTCAATTGCAACCTGCTGCTGCCTCCCATGCTACATTCCAATAATGCGGCGCTCCCGCGCTAACTGTTAACTTCAAGCCGCTCAAGATCCCTACAGTCCGACGCGCAGGGCCAAACTCTTCGCCTTTTAATCCGAGCATCTGATTAACAAATCCCCTACATTTAAAAAATTTCGGGCCGGACTTGGGTCGGAAGAGGAGTTTCCATTGCGGCAGGGTTTCGTCTGAGGAAAAGGTACCACATTTAAAGAAAATTTTTGTGTGCAGGTCTAAAAATTCAGGGATCACAGCTGCAGACGTGCTCTTCATTTCTGCACCCGGAGCTGCTCGCCGATCTCCAGTCTGCAGGGACCCGTTGCTCCCTTCAGCAGGAACCTGCCCTCCGAGGCCAAGCTTTTTCCAAAATAGGGGACCCTAATATAGTATCCCTAAATAGTAGGATCCTTATGATAAGGACCCCCACAACAAGGTACCCCCTATTTTCCAAAAGTTCCCAGGCTTCTCAGAAAGCTACGCTTTCTTATTAATTCGCTCACTCAAGGAAGCAATTTTTCATGCTGTCCTGAGCTACCCCTTACGGGGCCTGCCCGGCAGCACACCGAACCACATTGATAAGATGGACCACATTTATAGCAAGGCAGTCTTTGCTTTTGCTTCTTGTTTTAACAGAGAGACAAAGCTTCGCTGGGGACCGGTCCTATGCCAATGGCTTTGTAATGGAGATTCTATACAATCCTACTTTTTTAATAGAGCCCAAAGAGCCCCGGTGAAGGTTTTCGCCATCCATCCAGCCTTTTCCAGTGGCTTTGTAGTAGAGATTCAATACAATCCCATTGTTTTCAATAGAGCCCAAAGAGCCCCAGCAGCCAAGAGATGGTTTTCCATTAATGCGGTTCCGGCGTTCCTTATTCTGGGGGGGGGGGGGCCCTACTATTTAGATGCTCGGATTAAGGACTTGTTGATGTGCTGTGGAGAGATCCCTTGGATTTGGCGAAAGACGCATTCATTGTGCTGGCGCATGCCATGGTGCTGTGCGTATTGGAGGGCGCGCATATCTTCTGGCAGCTTCCCGCCACAGTCCAGTGCATGTCCTCCTCCCGAAATCGTGCCCAGCCACAGCGTCGCGAACATGGTGCCTGAGTCTCGTGCTTCCGCCTCCAATCATTGGGAGTTGTCTCTACACCACGGTGCAGCTGGGGTGCCAATCGTGCAATGCTGCTGGATGTTTCTTGAATACCGTTTGGACTGCTAGGTGATCTTGGACTGAGGTCTACCAAAGGCTGCAGACAAGACTCGCCCTCCACTCGGCAGCAGATCCATTTGCCGCTGAAGTCCGGAGTAGACGTCTCAAGACTTAGCGGCGAAACGGAGGACAACGACCTGGATAAGCGCTCGCAGGAAAACTCGGATCCTGCGGCAGTTTCCACATCTTCGTCTACTGCCTCTCCCTTGTCCGCCGTGTCCCCGACTACATCGACGAGCTCTGCTTTGGCAAGGTTCTTTGTGGCCGAGCTCTCTGCAAGGACTAGCTCATCTGCTGTGTCAGGGCAAGCGCAGGCATTCCCCATGGCTCTAAGGACTCGGTTCGCCAAGCCAAAGTCCGGCCAGGGGTCCGAGCCAAATCAGCTGCCGCAACAAACTCCCATGCTTTCAACTCTTTTGCACAACCCCTTTCTCTTTGAAGTCACGCCCTGAGCTTGGCAAGATCCTTGATTTTATGCCGCGGTTTGCATCCGAGAGTCGCTCACCGACTGAACCAAGCTTCCCCACCTCGACCTGGTGCTGCGGAAAGACGGAACCGACAAGGCGCAGAAAGCTGCAGAAAGGGGAAGTTGTCACCCTGATCCCAGCACGAAGTCGACGGCGCTCTGCTCAATCTCGAGATGTGTGAGTGCGTGGTGCACGGTGCACACCCATCCCTCCACATCAGCCGGGCACAGTCGATTCTCGTCGCTTCAGATCGAAGAGATGGAAATCTTCTCCGTGTTCATCCTGCACCCAACTCTCCAGATACACGTAGCCTGCAGACTTCATGCGCTCCAGAAACGCCGGGACGCCAGTCTGCCGATCCTGCGAATCACTTTTGGACGGCATCCCTTCTGGAAACATGACCGAGCATGCCGGGACGTCCAAGATCGGATTCCTTGGGGGCGACCAAAATCATGGAGCCAGTGCTGGACAGAAGATTCAGCGCGCAACCTCAGTGGACGCTCGATTCGAGACCCTGGACTAGGAGCTGAAGCGGTGTCGCATTGGTTTGAAGTGCAACGGCTCCATGCTTCATGAAGGACTGCACGGCTTCAGCATAAACGATGAGAGGCAGAACCGCAAGGGGCCACTAGGATGAAAGCGGCCGCACGATGAGCGAGCGAAGATTGGCGAAGATGTGTCAAGATAAGCAGCATGCCAAGTCATCACCAAAGTGCCCATAGACCGTATCAGAGCTGATGACCACATCAGCCCGCTCCTGCCGACAGGGTCGTGTTGAACCTGGAAAAACAAAAGAGTGCAAACAGAGGACGCTTGCCTGCAAGGCATAGTCTTCGCTAACGCGTTTCCAGTCAAGCGCTTCCGCTTGAACTTCGCAATTTCCTCCCTCGGGTCCCCATAGATGTCTGTTGGCCTTAATGTTGTGGTGGATATTGCATACCTGACAACAACTCGGCAGCCATGCCCCTAGAGAATACTTCTGGATACCTCGCCCCAGTAAAAATGAAAACAAAACTGTCCGCATCAAGTACAATCTACAGGCACTGGCACAACACCCGTTCTAGACGTGGCGCTGTTTCCCCATCGCAATCTGTGAGCAGCACGCGCCTGGCACCCACCGCAGCAGCAGCAAGTCCTTGCCAGGCGGGCAAGATTCAAGAGCCGCCCTCGCCTGTATCTATGCATGCAAACGATGTCGTACAGCCAAATGTTGACTTCATATGTACATTCTACCGCAATTGCCAATTCAAGTCGCAGAAGGAAACTCCGCCTTTATTGTAACATCCGACGCGGCCACAAGCAAATGTAAACATCATGTGGTGTAGAAACTGTCTGACGCAGCCCACAGTGCTCCCACTGTTACTGCTACTGCTATAGTACTACGACGACGATGCGGACCAACACACTCGTAACTACGGGGAGGCCTGCAAGCCCACAGCCAGCACCGAGGTCGAGGATGAATCGATCCTGCAGGCGTGACGCAGATAGGGCGTGATGCTGCAATCCCCCATGTCTTGGTCAGGGCCAACACCCCCTTGCCTGGGTTTACCTATTGGCTGACTAGTTTCGCGCAATGAGTCTCGCCTGCAGCAGCTACCACCCTCTGTAACTGACGAAAAGTATGCACAGTACCACAGCGGGAGACTTGCGCAGCGAGCATCCTGTGCAAATAACAGGACAAAGAGACACAATTGGCTGTAAATAATGGGATGCGAGGGTTGGCAAAGGCACGAAAGAGAGAACAACCAGCCAAAAGAACAAAAATAAAAGAAACAAAAAGCCGAATGTAAATACCCTTCCATTGAAAAATGTGGCAATATGCCGGCTAGAGATGTCTGAAGCCCCACCGCAGCTAAGCGGGCACCTTTCTTTTGAATCTGCTGTTCTGTTCAATCCTGAGCCTGGCATAAACGTTACAAAGAGTTCGTAGCGTAGGGAGTTGGAGCACGACCGAGAATTAAGTGGTGGTATGACCACTATGACTGTAGTATGTGTTCATCTGCACGACAAATCACGACAAGTGCTCGAGAGCATCTTTAAGCATCGAAACGTGAAACACATCCACTGACGTTCGCCAAAAACTTATGCCTATGCTCCTAGCCAAATGCACGGTGCAAGTGCAAATGAAACCCTGAGCCTGTTCTTCCTGTTCAGAGCTGCCAGTTAAGCTAGGCATGTGAACTCCCAGGACGGACCGAACAAAAGACAATGCGGTTTCATGCAGCTTGTAGCATGGGACTGCCCCTGGGCGAGGAATACCCCCCGAACCAGACCACGACGATTGATGTAGGTCAGGGAAGAAACTTTAGGGTAGACTTCAGACATCTCTTGAAGATAAATCCAAAGATCACCACAAGCAGTTTCTCACAGTATCGACGCTCCTGCACCAGCTGCGGCCTCCGCAAAAGCTCCTGCCACTGCAGTGTCGCAAAAGCCAGACACGATGGGGCTCCAATGTTGCTTCACACAGATGCCAGCATAGAAGCTTGCTGTCGGACGACTGCAGATTGTAGAAAGCTCGCGAGCGCTCCTGGGCTAATATGCTTCCAGCTGGCCAAAGCTGGTTCCCAGTGGATCCATGCACACCGTCCTCGGCCAAGATTACGGGAGAAAGACTTCAGGGATGTGCACGCGCTTCACGCGCCTTCCATCGCATCTGTTTTGCCACAGTTCAAACCTACATGCTCTGACATGGCTGACTGGGAGGTGTCGTTGCTCAAATGCTGACTTTGCACAGACGGAGAATTGATGGCAAACGGCAAAACTCCTTGAACAAAGATACGACATCATTGTCACATACCCGTTTGAAGACACGGAAGCAAAGCTCTAAAAAGTCTGCACTTGCAACGAATGAAAGCCTTCCTCAGCCAACCGACCATGAATCATTCCCTGAACGTAGAGACTTTGGCAACGAAAGGGACGGCCAAATCTCCAAATCGCAATTCGAGCATCGGCCAGTGGGAGCTCACGGATGGTAATGTGGATCTCATGCAGCTTCGCAGACCCTCCGCGCAGCACGACGACCTCGCAGAAGTCTTCCATTGCCTGGGCCTTTTGAAAGAGAACGCAAAACTGCAGGAGATGTCGAGAGATGGATGTTTCAGGCATTGCTTGTGTCGAGACACAAGAGCTCATGGCATGCGCATGCAAACGAATCACACAAAGCCTAATTTGCTACAAGAGCCAGGACAGAACCGATCCCCTGGTTGCAGCTGCTGCCACACCGAAACGTGGACACTTGCCGGGTGAACTAAGCGGGCCGAATCTTTTACAAGGGTGCCCTCAGTGTGTTTTGAGCAAAGTCAACGCGACTTGCCAGAACGTGCAGCGATGCATCCTTGATGACGGTCCAGAACGCCTTTTGCTTCCGGAACTGCCTTGTCCAGCTTTGGACATCGGCTGGAAAATAGTTCTGAGACAAAGCTTCGGCGTAGACAACTCTGTCGGGTGCAGATGTTGTCATGCATCTCGAGGCCACACAGCTGCAGCCCCCTATACCAGAATCGTTGTTGAGAACTCTGTGCGAAGGCGAAGGTCACGCGAGGAAGATCCGACCTGAGATTCGAATCGACAAGTTGTCCATCTAACCCGTTGAATACGCGGAAGTGCACACGACCATACGAGCAGAAGCGGGTCAAGCTCGTCCACATACAGGCAGACTAGAAGCGAAACTTCCGGGCAACAACAGGTCAAGTCTCTTTCTGGTCGAGGACCCCAGACCAAACAATCTTTCATGGTCAGACCCGACTCAAGGCCACAAATGGTCCAACTGCGGGCCACAAACAGACAAAACACGTCTCTCTCGCGAAGCGTGCTGCAGACTGAAACCTATGCCGGGCAAATCCAGTTCTTCGTGGCTTCCGCAGACGAATATGTGGCACTCCGTTCAAGTTGGAGCTCGGTGCATTCAACTGCCAGCTACTCGATCTGTGGTGCTTACTGCCATGCAGTCGAACGAGGCACCGATCGACAAATCTTCGACGAATGACCAAGACGAGTTCGAACCCTCGTGCAGCAGACACATCAAATGTCTTAGTCAAAGCACGCTGACTCCGAAAACGCCTCCAACCTGGCTCCAAGAACGGGATGCCTTGGTTGCATTCTACAGACTGCAGTCGGAGTGGTACACACCATGCCGCCGCAGGATTCTCCTCCGAGTCTCCACATCCCAGATGGATAGATCTCGTGGCCGCAGATGCAGTTGCAGGGTACAGGCTTCACCTGCGGTCGGAGGCCGGCGAGCACATCCGGCCTCTCTCTCTCTGTCTCTCTCTCACTCTCACTCTCACTCACCCACACACACAAATATGCACACATAGGGTTTCAGGCTTAGGGGCTAGGGTGGTCAGGGTGTGAGGCTTTGGGTTTAGGGTTTGCACATACAGTCAAAGGCCCTGCCTGCTTCCAACCTTGTGTCAAGCAACTCAAATCAAGAAATTCGTCCGAGAGCGAATCTGAGCATTCCAATTCTCTTTGAATTGTCACTTGCGGTGCTTTCAGGCGCTTCACTCAAGCGTTTCGCTTAACGTTGCATCTGACTGCAGGATGGATGCCCGGACATATGTCAGGCTAGCAGCAGCTTCGTCTTTGCAAAACCTTGGAGAATATCCCATGCTGCTGTCTCCATACTCCACACTACCAAAGGCTGCGCCCCTGCATCGCTACGGCCCTCACCATTCGTCAGATGATGACAAGTTCCAGTGCGGCAGTCAAGACACTAAACAAATACCAAGACACCTTTTAGTTGAAAAGGCTCGCCAGCAGAAGCCGGGAAATCAAGATAAAGCTGTGCAACCTGAGGTGAGGACATCGCTTGGAACTTGCGGACTCATGACCGGCGCACCTGTCGGATCGTGCCTCTGCACCCGGGCGCGCCCCCGTGTTTTCGATGGTGAAAGTCACGATCTTACCTGGAATGCACCAGATGTCAGAAATGAGTGTGTCGGGCATTGTTCACTCAAGTGCACACTGCACACGACCAAGCCTCCACCAGAGTCATCTTGAAGATTCAAGGAACCGTACCTTCTTGATACTGCGCTTTAGATGTTTGCTGCACGACTGTCCGATCAAGACACCTGCTTCATACCAAGATGCGTGAAGTTGGTATACGAGAGTCCATGGCCAAACGGAAATCCTGTCAAGGCCGGCTTGCTGTTGCGCACTTGTTTGACAAAGGAAAAAACACTGCTGCATGGTTTCAAAGAGCCACAGCTATGAGAACAGGAGCGATGTGTTGCATCACACTCTCATGTGGGCTGGGATGAGCCGGGCCTGTCTTGAATTGCAGGTGTTTCGCTTCATAGAATCGATATCCAACTTGTAGCTTTTCCTGGCACTGCACGACAGGAAAGAACGTCACCATGCAATCCTGCATCATGCTACATTCACCCAGTCAGTCAGACATACAAACCTGCACAGAAAGCTCCAACGTCGGCCAAGGTGACTGTGTAAAAAGCATAGGCTGGAGCTTTCGGGTCGGGAACACCAGGATATTGCGCGGCAGAGAATTGGATCTCGTTCTCGCCTTCAGTGTAGACGTCGCATGCTCAAAACAAGGAGGAGACATGCTTGTAAGTAAAGCGATTGCTATCAGAGGCGTCGAACAAAGGCCTTGTCAAAGCGATGAACCGACTTTGAATATTGTGCGAATCAACACCCCTGCATTGAGACAAACTGATTTCGGTCATACGCATGACACGTTCATCATTCACAGCTAAGTGTTCAAACGTGTTTCGCCCCGAATCCGATAAACCAGCATGTTGCCCGCAGGCACAAATCGTCGCTAAAGCCACCAGGACCAGCAAAATGCGGTCATCGCGTTGATATGCTAGTTTGCATCATCCCTTCGAATTGCGAGTTGAAACAGCAAAGGGCAAACCCTGTCCAATGAAGAAACCCTTCGCGTACACGCAGTGTACAGGATGGGAGGGTACAAGAACAAGCCCCGCTTTCGCTTAAGTTCGTCCCCAGTGGCTGTTCGGAAATGTCATAGGCAGCTTGCCAGAAGGGTTGACCTTCCCAAACAAGACGTCGGCAATCGCGTTGCCGGCCTGTTGCCCTGGCATGAAGTTCGTCACGACTGCCTGGCTGCGGCACAGGAAACAGCAGAGAAATGACGAGTCCGTTCGTCGCCCGTTTAGGTCGCAGCCAGGCTGCAGCAACCTGTCGGGACCATGGCAAGAGCACGGCCCCCGGTGTGGTCACAACGACGACCTGCAAAGAGTGCAGGTCGTAACGAAACCCCTTCAGCTAGCAAAACCGTCACAGACGAGCTGCGGTTTTCTGGCCGGCATACACTGCAATGCGGCTGACAGCCTCCCAGGCAAGTCTACACAGTACAGGCTTCCATGTTTTGAGTTTGCACAAGCAGCTTTGACACGAGGAGGGACTGAACGAATCGGTGTCGACATCAGCCACTCAGCATGGGACAACCTGCTTTACATGCCAATTGCACAACCTCTAGAATCAGGAGCTCAGATTAACATCTGAAACATCTGCTGGCTGTCTGCAAGCCGTGGATTCGGCGAGTGAGATGCAATTCTCGCCCTCTCCGCAAGCCAGAAAATAAAAGACGATGGAAATGTCGGATAATGAAACACGATGGTCAGAATGCCATGGGGTTCGGATATCAGGGCTCGAAGCCGACGAGACGTCCGACCCAGAGCGAATCATCAGCATGGATGCTTTCATTTCTGCAGCAAGAGCCTCGTTCTGTCCGGTCCAATCGGTGCCAACATCCAAAGACAGAGAGCTTCGATCAAAGTCTTCACCTGGACTCACATCATTTCACGACACGATCGAGGCTCATGATTGCACAAGTAGAATATCCAAGCACCCCGCGAGACCGCGTGCCCACGAAAACGATGGCATAGTCACTCTTCTTTGCAAGATCTGCTGCTGCCACGACATCCCTGCCGTCGTTGTAAACTATGGTTCCAGAATCTCCCACGGCATCGCGAATGCCTGACCGAAGCCATCAACACAGCTTCTTGCTTCAGATCCATGTGCCGCACATAGACACGAAGTCCCAGCTATTGAGCTCCGGGCCTTGGAGTGGAGTGGAGACAAAGGAAGGTTCGACGCTGCCAGAGCCGCCACCGTGGTAGATGGCATTCCTCGGATCGAAAGAGACTCGCTTGCAAGCTTGGAAAGGGCAACGACAATATGCATAACATAGCATCGCAGGAACATCTGGAGGACACCCTTACATTCCATTCAGACGATAGCAGAAGAAGACGGGCACAAGAGCTGTTGAATGGCGATGTGTTGAAAAGAGACGCTACCAAATGGTAACTGGCAATTGGCTTCTGGAGCACAGTGGAATGCCACAACACTTCGTCGGCCTGATCCACAGCTGCACAGGGGCAGCATCATACGAACACAAATGGCCCAAGGGCTCGATGTGGGTTGCATGTGTTTATCCGGCAAGAGACACAGATAGGGGTTTCCGAAAATAGGGAACCCTAAGAAAGTGCCCTGAATCCCTGAATAGTAGCATCCTCATTGTAAGGACCCCTAAATAAGGTACAGTACCCCCTTCTTTTCGGAAACTCCCAATTTCTTTCCCAGGAGAGCTCTGAAATGCAATGGCAAGTGTCGCATCTGCCAAACCGATCACAGCAACTCGCTTGCCAGGAGCCAGGGGCAACAGGCCGCCTGTGCGAAAGCGAACTCAGCACGCCACCTTCAGACATCTGGCAGATTGACTTTTGGGGAGCAGCTGGCCTTCATTTCTCAAAAGAACCGTGCCCTTGGCTGAAAGCCGTCGAGCAGATGCCACAGAGGCGCTTGTTGTAACCTCCGGAATGTGGCTTTCACGATATCTGGTCGAAGTGTCTGTTTTTAGTGTAGGGTTGAGACGAGCTTCAGTCTTCAACAGATTGCCGGTTCTGAACCCTAAGCCCAAAGCCCTAGTGACAAGAAAAACGTTGATGCATCTGAGTGGCATTTCGCAAGCGCTTGCTCCAGTCCCAGGCGCTCAAAGGTTCGTCCATTACCTTGGCATTCGAACAAAGTCATGCGCGGTTACCCTGTCTCGCCCTTTACATAATGCTCACATGTCGAACATTCTCTCCGGCCAAGGTGCACCCACCTGAAACATGGCCTGTAGGATCCGGCGTACAGACTCATCCACTTGAGTTTCCTGCGCGAGCTGATCGAGAAGGACCAGCGACAGCCGCGAACACGGCCAAGCATCCGCATTATATAAGTCTTGGTGGAAGTATTGGGAAATCACCAACCGCAAATCGATTCCCGTTTTGAAAGTGCGTGGGCATGCCAAACAAGAAGCGATCCTAATAACTGTTCCGATGTGATGACTTAGACATGCATGCAGGACTTCGTCGCTGCACCACGGGTTGGAGCCTTAAGAGGTTTAAGGGCGGCACGTACAACTGGATATGATGGGATATGCAAAAGAAGTAAACAAACCACTCCTTCACAACTCCGGCATCCAGTGCTTGTCTGAGCAAGTCCGCGTTCATCCATGCGGCACCTCCCATAAAAGGCTAGCTAGCTGCACACTAGCAGTAATCCTTACATGACATGCACAGACGAAAAAGCAAGCGGTGCAGGTCCTGCCTGGCTGCTCCACATCAAGTCCAGCTGCGATCGACATTGAATGCGTCGCACCCCAGTCAGACATCACATAGCCTGTGACACAGGTCATGGTCAAGCGGTGGTCCTTCGTCGTTCGCATGCACGAAAAGAGTCCGCTGCCCTTGGACCCTTCCACGAGCCTTCAAAGTTGATGGCCTGTTTGAGATCGCTCTGCAACGTGCTCGGGTTCTCGCAACTCCAGTACCCGTTGACCTTGTTGTAGCTGCCTGTCAAGAGAAGCTTGAAAGTCCGTGAGGCATGTCAACAAAAAACCACAGCAACGGCTCTGAGACTAGCACACATCATGGAGCCAACACCCGCTTCGACAGCTCCCTCGAACGGGGGATAATAGATCTCCTCGCGTGATGCCACGTCAATCCAAGACAAAAGACGATCGAATGCAGTGTAGGGGAATGATGGCACAGCAGCACAGTCTGCCAAGAATTTAGACAGGAATCAAATCGAGTTCTCTCATCCACCTCTTCGCTGACCTGGAGGCACCATGCATGCTGATTCATCAAGGACGATTTTCGAAGAGACTATGTAGCTTAGGCACACCAGCACGATTTGTTTCCTGGTTGTTCTGAATGAAGTGCTTGGCATTGGCCACGACCTTCTGGGACTGTATCCCCTTTACCACAGGCTGCACAAGCCTGTACCCCAGGTATGGATCTTCACCTGAGCTCTGCTGCATAGCTCCAAATGGCACTTCTGGAATGCTCAACGAGGATTGTTTATGCACACATGCTTGCAGCCCAACATTGTCCGTACACTAATGCCATGGGTCGCTAAAAAATTACGTGCGCTCGCCTGAAGCCGTGCAGATTCCACATGGTCGCTGCAGTCCTGCACTTTTCTGGGTTCTTGCTGATGCTTGCGATCGCAGTATTCATGGCGAGTATTGGCGAGTTCTGCCAGTGCACGCGCACGTATGCTCCCGCAATCGAAACCGGCCATCGGCCTTCTGGCTGGAGGAATCGCGGGATCTATGACCCATGCGCTCCGCGGAACGACATGTCTGCGTAAATGTGCTGCACTCAGTGCATCGAAACAGTAGATGGGGTGAGGTTGCTCTGCATGGGGGCATCGGGTGCCAAACACTGCCTTGCACGGCATTGCGCAATCCAGCCGAACCACCCCTAGAGTTATCTCGAGAATGATAGGGATCCTTGCGACATTTCCATTGGGATCCACGAACAATCCAAAGGCGGAAAGTGAGTGAGCACAAGCAAGCTGATCTAAACCCTGACACTGGTGGATGTGAGGACACTGTGCGATGTAAGCCCATCACCAGACAGGTACTCGAAATTCCGGCCATTCCTGGACACGTTTTTTTTTGGTGATCGTCTAGCCGAGTCTATCCGACTTCAGAAGAGTCCGAGAGAGCGCGCTCCGCAATCGGGTCCGAGCTTCAGGGGCACCCGAGCCACGTTCAGTCCAGGCCCGAGCTGGAGATTCGAGCCCTTGTCGTAGAACTCCTTGCCCATGCCTTGACCCCACTCCTTGGCTCACTTCACTGGGCTCCGAACTCCGAACCCGTGAGATTCTAGGCTTTTCTGAGATTCAAAGGCAGCTTCTTCGTCCCAGGACGCGGCGATGGTCAGGCCAGACGGCCAGGCCTCTGTCACTGCACACTACCCGGACCCGGATCACCACTCGTCTGTTTTCTGCTCTTCTTCTTCTGGCACATCTAGAAGCAACCGTGTGCAAGCATCATCAACCCACTCCGATGCAAGAATTGCTAGATGGTCGCAATCTCGGCGCACTGCAAGAAAGCAAGGGCCAAGTCGCTGTGGAAGTCCCGGCCAGGCTGGTTGGCGAGCGGAATCCTTGTGGCCCATCGTTCCTGGGATCGCTTCAGACGGGGTCTCTTAAAGCCACTAGAGATACTTCACAGCAAAAACCTCACTCAGCCGTCTTCATCGGAAGACCAAGTGTCCTAGGTATGCGAGGTGCTTGTTGCATGTGGGCACCCCTGCTAACTTGCTCATCCAGTGTGAGGAACTTCCAGCCTGTGAAGTTGCAACCCGGGTGTTCATGCGGCCGAGCCAGTGAGAAGCAGCTGAGCCAACGAACCGGGCTGCAACATGACAAATTGCTGAATCCGGTTTGGGTGGTTTGGCTTCGGGTTAAATTTCACGGTCAAGCCAGCCTTGACTCCCAGCTCATGGCTTTGCCCGAAACTTTTCGGCAGAAGAGTGCTGACTTCACAACATGCTGCAGGGCGTCATGTTCACGGGCGGCATCCCCAAGCGTTCCACTGGAGCAATATTGCCGACCTCAACAACTCAATCCGCGAGACACTGCGAATGAGTCCTGCACCAACAGCCCAACTGTTTTGGTGATCGATGAGCTTTGAGTTCAGGGATGCTGCAACTGTGGATCATGTTTGACGTCGCTCGAGAATTTAAATCCTCCCCCGTACAATTCTCTGAAATATGTTCCCCATGGCCTGCAGCATCTTCATCGGTTCATCATGCATGGGCCTTGCGAACCCTTTGCATTATTTGGTCCTTGAGTCTTCCCCAGGCCCCCAACAAAAAGGTGCTGAATGCATCAAGTCAAGAAGCATAGGCACATCGAGGACTATCCATGCATTCGGTTCGTCCATCTTCCGACCCGTGCAGCATTTGCAACTTTTCGGTCAGAGTCATGTTGGCCACCAGCCTCGGTGCTCAGGCCACCGGGCTACTGCGTCTACGCAACGATAGATGGGCCCCAGGCAGGTGAGCTCGTTCATGCGCGGCCAGAGCTGGATCCGACCATGGGCCCGGAATAAGTCCAGCGACCTGCTCTATCTCAAGAGAAAACTGTCGGCTGCTTGTGAGCAGTGCCGCCTGTGTGAAGGGCATTAACCAGGCACTCATCACAGCTGCCATCCACGCCATGGTGCCGGGCTAACGCTGAAAGATAACCTGCCTACCAAGAGTACCGTCGGTAGCCTATCGTAGCCTACTGCAGCCAACACCAGCTTGTAAGGAGCCGGGGTGTCTAAAGATGAAGAGAGCTTCAGGACCCTCAGAAGCTGTGCGCCGGCGAAACTCAGATTGCGCACAAGATCGTGTCTTGCACTCCATCAGCAAAAACTACAAAGCATGCATGTTCTCCGTTTCTTCAATGGTCAGAAGCGCGGCTTTCGAGAATGGTTCACTTGCCGCATCCTTGCCACAGCATGGCTTGGCGCGGCGGGCTTGAGACAGGTCAGTGTAATCTCGCTCTTCAAACAACCCCACACCTGGCTCGCTAGCCAATCATGACGATGTGGGTGCAACCCTGCACACCGTGAAGGGCATTTGTCGCCGACTGCATGAGCTTCTCAAGAGAATTTCCAAGCAGCTTTCAGAGCTTGGCAGAGCCGGCAAGTCTCTCGCTCTTAAAGCTGAACCCTGCCTCCGACTAAAAAATCAAACCTCATGGAAAACTGTGCTCGTGGCATCTGGGAAGCGCTGCAGGACTGCACCATCGGCGAACTTCCATCAAAGACTGCAGAATTCACCTTGGCATCTTGGGAAGGCCGGCAGGAAGCAGTGAAACGGTACGGCATCGTCGAGCTTATCGCAGCGTTCCAGCTTGCAGGCTTACAGCTTCGAGGCTCGGGCTTCCAAGCTTCGGCGGGCACCGAACCTTTCCAGGAAAGTCAAACCTGTCCCTGTCCCACGCACCCGGCGTGCCCTGTTGATATGTCAAAGGTCACTGTGCGGCATCGGCACAAAAGCCGATGCACCAGATCATGAGAGTGCCGACATTGGTCGCCATGGCATTCATGGTAGGGTTTTATCGCAACCTTGCCCGACCCAGGTAGCACCCAAACTGACCTGGACTGGCTCATACGCCCAACGGCAACACCAGAAGCATCAGCGGCAGCAGCATTGCTAGCGGCGCCAAAATATCAACAACGCCGGCATCAACACCACTTTGACCACCAAGACCACCACCACCACCGCCACACTACTTCAGTGCCGGTGATACTTCCAACGAGGCTGATGCACAAGCCTTCATGCACACTCCATTCTTCGCGCACTCACTTCAAGACTTCTGTGGGCACTGCAGTGTCCACTCCCCTTCAGACTTAGGGTGTATGCCACATCCATTGCTCGGAGAGCTTAACAAGCACCAGCTTCGAGTCACACGTGGGTTCCAGCCTGGCCAGCGACTGCTTTCGCCCAGTGGCATGGCGAGCGTAACACTTAGAAACCGAGCCTAAATCTAAGAGCTAGAAACTGTAGAGCTCGACATACATAGCGTCATTTATGACACCATCACCGGCTTCTGTCAGGGAAGTTCTTGCAATGAGTGCGCACTGATAAATCAGCACTATGTTTGAAAAGAAACCCCTATTACCCGGAGTCTTCCTGCAGAGAAGTAAGTTTTTCCCGAAATCTCTATTCATGTTTATTCCTTTCGGAGAAGTTGCCATTCGATCGAGCGAGACGACAGGTTGAATAAAGCCCCTATCAAGCTAATCGCACATGCAGCTTGGGAGTTGGGAGGGCATGTTGAAGTCTAAGTGTAAATTATTGCCCACATCTGAGCTGCCAGCGGCTTTCCGGGCGCGGTTCTCAAAGCACTGTTGCACCAACCAACCTAATCCAATAAGAGGCCAAGCATGCTCCTTTGCAGGACATCGCTCCGATCATCATTGATGTTTTGAACAAAACCCTGCTCTCGGAAACACATGCTGGGGGCGAAGTGTTAAACCCAATGGAATGTGAGAGAAAACCCTGATACAAGTGGTGCATGCGAAGCCCTGAAACCAGGCACAACTGTTGGATCCAAATCCCCAAACCCACAGCCAGGGGGCAAGAAGTCTTAAAGCCACACAACGGGCACGGGTGCGAAACAGCTGGAAGAAGGCTCAGGGAATTGCAAGCAAACCGTAAAGCATCAGAACCACCAGGCATAAGGCTTATCGGCTTATCTTCTCAGAAAGGATCACTCCAAAGAAGATACATGTGGGTACTCGCAGAATCTTCTCTACTGCAACAGATGCAAAAGCACAGACCGGTTCTCCACCAATTGCGTTCTCATGCTGAAGGATGGCAGTAGCCGTACTGTTGAGCTGTACCCATGCGTGGTTCCTGATCTGCCAACTTGACTGCAAAGCTGAAAGACCGAGCCGCCACTGGCACCCTGCGAGCTGGATTGCTGAAGGCCGTCTTAAGAAGGATTTTGATTCGAGGTCGCATGAGGCACATCATGCGGCTAGGCTCTGCAACAGCCAATTGCTGGAGGCTGCAAAGCCGACTAGAAACAACTTGACTTGATCCCCTTAGGAGCGCACCTCTCAAGCCAAAGCTCTCGACTTTTTCGGTAATCGGCCTGTCCCTCAATCGCTTGTGATTCATTGATCACTGGTCGTTCCCTTTCAGGGAGAATGGAAGTGAAAGAGGGGAGGCTCAAAGCAGGGCCTGAAGCACAGAAGTGGCAATGCGGATTTTAACACTCTCGAAACCCCTGCCACACCGTCCAAGTAAGACCAAGATACTGTTGGCATCCGTCACACCTGAAAGGACATGATGTCATGTTAGATGGAGTTGCTCATTCGCCGAGACTACAACTGCCACAGCTACAGTGCAGGCGTTGGACCGTTTCCCCCCACCATCAGCCACATTCTGCTTCTGCACGAGATAATCTCTACAATGACATGGGCTATCATGGGCTATGCCTTCACCTTTGACTTGGCGACCCCAGATGGACGAGGTGAGAAATTGTTTTACCCGTGATTTGTAGGCTCTTCACAAGTTGACTGCACGCCGTTCGAGAAAAATCCCTAATTCCATTCTGCGCACCCTGAACAGACCTGCACATGGCAGTGGCGCTGGCCGAGCCGGATTTGATTGGCCTCGGTCGTGCTCAAGCCACTGGATACTTGGCGAACTGCCGAGCAACCGTCATACTCAGAATTTCGCAGCGAACACCACACTTCGCCCGGTCGCACGGCCAAGACACAGCACGATAGATTTGAAGAAGCTTGGATCCCCCACACACCAATGCAGTCTTTTAGGCCACTCGGCCCGTGGAGGGCCTCGCACCAAGTCAAGCTTCACAGTTAGCAGTTAGGGCCTTCCTGTGATACCAGCAACAAAGACACATGGCAAGCACACGGGCATCTCGGGACATGTTTCCAGGCCATTAAGGCATCAGCCACCATTGATGTCTGCATCGTCCTGCCGGACATACATCTTCTTTCCCAGCCCGTGAAAACGCAACGGGCAAGCCCTGTCTATGCCACATATGCTACATGCATGGAATGATATCATATGGTCACCATCACCATGCACAGGAACTTCACGAGACGTGCAGCTGAAATACCTGACCTTCTTGCAATCCTAAAACCCCTCGTCGTCTGGCCCATGGGGTCTATGTGCATCATCAAAGCACAGTGCCAGCACTGCTAGGAATAACAAGGCAAATGCCGCTCACAACAGAGGCCACGATGCCTGGATGCCCCTGGCCCTGACAAGTTTTGCCCGTCGATTGACTTTCTGAAACGGTTGGCGGTCCTGCAACCGTTTGACTTCTGCACGAAAGAAGCCCGAGAATGAGACCCTGCCAAGCCTGGCCGTCTCAAACTTCCGTGATATTACACGCATGTGTTGTTGGTCAAGCACTTCAGTCCGTCAAAGTTCGCAACCTGTTTGATTCCAGGAACGCAATTCAAAACAGAGCGGGATCACCTTGCATTCTGCATGGAATAGAAGCGATGAGTGGCGACCCGCCTATCAAAGACGTCCTTGCTGAAGCAGGGCGAAGCATCACATCGTTGGTACCGCGATGTGCTGGGTCGCAAGCTCCAACTGCTTGAGCTAGGTGCATCTGCGCTTGAACCTGATCTCCCAATATGGCAGACAAGCATCATACGACTCATACAAGCATCGTCAAGGATGATGTCTGACTTGAAAGCACATCTGAGCTGAGCGCATACTCTGCCAGATCAATTTGCCCATCTTCTGATGTGTCGCAGGCATTGAACAATTCCTCATGCACAAACTGTACAATTTCCTCAGGCACAAACTGTATAGCAACAGTCAACAACAGCAACAACAACAACAACAACAACAGCGAGGATCGCAGCTGTTTCGCTAGGGCTCATGCTGTTGTGGCTGCACTTCCAGCAAGTATCTTAGCACCGGACCCGCATTGCTTCACCAAGCTCGGATACCTCTGAACTGCCGTGGAATGGTTTTAGGTGGCAGAATGTGGCGAAGCATGTAGCTGACTGACCTCAGCGCTCTCGAAAGGAGTTCTCAACCAGCCATGCTGCTTTCCTGTCTCCATCACAAACATTGAGCAGAGACATTGAAAAGCAGCAACTGCCAGGGCGTGCTCAGCTAGCAGACTCACCCAAGACACAGCATCTCGCATCCTCGCTGACTACTTGCATTGGCTATGGGTCCTGCTCCATGACGTGCAACATTTCTAGAAGAGCTGGATCTGCTTCGCCCTGTCTCTGGCCATGTCTCCCCACATTCACGCAGCTGTAGCGGGTAATATCCAGTGCCATTTATGCCAGTAGCTGACTTCCGAAGCCCTGTCGCACAAGATCTCATCTCATCCATGAACCGAAGAGGTGCACGGTGATTCATTCGGGAAGTGTGGTTCGGACAAAGATCAAACTGAAATGCATTTCCTCGAATGCAGGGACTTGTCCACGGCCGCAACTGCGAGCTGGCGAGCGAGGCCCTGCGTCGATCGTCAGAACTGCTTCTCACAGCAGAAACCGTGTCAACCTCCGCAGCGCTAATTGCACGACCATCGAAGAAGTCTTTTCCGAAAGGCACCACGGATGTCATGAGCGGTGCTGATCGGCCCATGGCTTCTGTCTGCTCTGCTCCGTTTGAACTGGTATTCGGTGAAAGGGGCCCGTCGCCTCGTTCTGTGTTCCACGAGGATGGGTCTTGTGAATCTCATGCAACTAGAGGAAGCAACTTAGCAAGAGTGCTGAGGAATCGTGGAACTGCTTGATATACGGCTTTTGCTTGACACGACAAAGACAACCTCTGTCATCTTGCACAAGCTAGAGAAAATGTAAAACCCAGCACCGTCAAGACAGCTTTTTCATGAAGCTCTGCATGGAAAGTGTCAGCGGGCTGCATCCTTCTTCTCCGACTTTGTGTCTGGCTCATCACACCGGACCTGGGAGCCACGTGCCAAAAAACGTTGCATCTTGCATCTTGCGGGCAGCATGGTCGCAGACAATGCTTTCGAGCTGATCTTTCTTGCTTACACCATATCCGGCTTTGATACCTGCAATCAGCGGATTCATGCCAAAGCTGTAGGTTTCCTCATTTTCGTGGATCGGCCTATGCTGCCGACGCTTGTGCATGCAGGCTTCACCTTCTCCTTAAGCTCGACCCTTTTCAACTACAGTGGCTGTGAACTCTGCAGGTGGCTGAGTTGGAAGCCCACTTTTTTTCCAACATTGACCCCAGCCGATCAAGGTCGGCAGAATCATCCATGCTTTTGAGGTCCTTCCATGAAGCAGGAACTTGTTTGCCTCCGCACACATGCACAAGTCACCTTCTTGCCGGAAGCGAAACTTGCAACCGGTGCGCCACATGATCCAAAGAACCTGGGCTGTTGTGCAGCAACTGGCATTCTATCAGAGCAGCAAGCTCTACCCTGCTGCAGCCGATTCTTCCAAGCTGCCCTCCAACGATGAGGCTGCGCCTTTGTCTGCACCAAAACTTGTGAGACCAGGCAATGAGCAGCTGAGCAGCACGCAGTCCACGCCTCGTCATCTCGGCGGCAGAGGCCTTCAGTTGAGGACGGGCCCAAGCCAATTTCTTGGCTCTAGCAACGGCACCTTCGTGGGACGTCGTATTGTACTCCATGCCGAAAGCGCAATAGTTTCTCACTGCTGCCAACAATCCGACAGACCTTCGCTTGATCTGATTGCACATGTCGCAGACAATGACCAAATCAGAACAGCCTTCAATGCGACGGATCAGATGATCAGAACGCTGAGAAAGAGCTGTACCGACTAGCGACATGTGTGCTCTTGCTCTGACAAGTGACGACAAGTGAAGTTGAAGCTCGCCGACGGCGGAACAGGGGTGTCATGGTACTTGCTGATACTATTCTTTTACTTTTGTTACAAGCGGCTGACGGTTCCAACACAAGTGAAGCTGTTTTTCCACTGTAAGCCATAGGCTTGCAACACTGGATATAGACGACAAATGCAGCCGCTGGAGTGAAAACCGCCACGTAGCACAAATTCGTGCAACATGTTCTCCAAGGCTGCAGCTGCTAAAAGGAAACCCCGCGAAGTATGATCGCCCTGGCCTATCCCTGAAAGTAGCTACACAAGATTGCTATCACAAAAACAACAAGCACTCGTCTTAGACAAAAACAACAACACTTCCACTTCCCCGTCGGACAAACATCACACTTCCCCTCTACACGCGTGCAAGTCAAACCTTAGACTCACCAACCACCGCTAGCAACCTCGTATTGGGGGGAACACTGGCAAAAGTTCAAAAGCAAAGATCGGTATGAAAATGGTTTTGCTCCAAAACTATTTTTGAACAAATTCAGATGGAAATCTCCGTCGGAGACAGACATCCGCAAACCGCACGCATGTTGCAATCTTGCAATCCACATGTGTTGTCAAAGTAGAAGTGACATGAAACTCCCAATCTCCAGTCCACTCTCTCCCAAAACCCCGTCTTCTACTTTCACTTCACTCCAAAACCGCGTCTGCTACTTTCACTTTGGGTCCAAACCTCCCTGCTACTTTCACTCCGACCCATTTCAAAACCACCTTCGAAAACCGGTCTGCTTTCACTTAGGGCCAGAGAGACCTTCCAAACGTCTTTGACTCAGATCCATTTGGAAAAATGATCTGGACTGCAACACTTTCAATTAATTGCAAAACGAAATTTTAGATATCAATAAATGAAACTCTCGACGTTCTAACTTTATCTTCAATTCTGCCTTACTACAACGCGAAAAACGACAGCTCTGGCACTTCTTGTTGCAGTGTGAGACGCCGTGAATTATGCTGTTGCTTTGAATGGAAGACTGGCGCGCTTTCAATCTGGATCCAGACCTTCCATGCAAAACCCCTCCCAAAACCTGTCTACTTTCATTTCGAGCCCAAACCTTCCAAAACCGCGTCTACGACTTTCATTTTCGGCCTCTAACCCACCAAAACCGTGTCTGCAGCTTTCACTTCAGCCCAAACCTTCCAAAAACGCATTTACTACTTCTGTCCAACACAATCTCTGAAGGGAAGTCTCTATTCCGCAAAAACGCAAATTTCTCTGCCACTGTTTCCAAAGCAATGCAGATGGACTGCATTCGACCTTCAGAAAGCCTCCAAACATTCGCTCCAACTTTTCCTCATTAGAGTCCAAGCTGGCTTTTGGTTTTTGTCTTCGTGGCTCAGTGATTCCGGAAACAGTTGCGCTTAGAAACTTGGACCACGACTCTTGCTTAGAAGGTGAAATGAAGAGAAGGAATTTAGAGTTCTTCTAGAGGCCCGCTTCGAGCTCGAGCCTCTGTCCTGTCAAAGCAGCAAGACATTTAGAGATTCGATGTCTTTAGATGTTGTCAGGTGTGAAGAGATCATTTGATCAAACGTGTTGTCACGTTGGACCGATTCGAAACTTTCAGAGTTCTTGCAAGAGTCGTTCCACAAACGATTTCGAAGGGAATCAAATGGATGGCTAAGAGGATTCTTCCGTAAGGCTGTGTTGACCGTTCCACTCGCAATGTCACCCTCAAAAGAGCTTCTTTGCTTTTGGTTGTTCGCGGCACCCTTTCGGAGTCATAACTTGAATTCTTGTTGAGCATTCCAAAAAATGCATGCGGTCAGTTGTAAAAACGTGCATGAACTTGGTTGATTTTGCCAAAAGCAGGAAGAATGAGCGAGAAATCTTGTTACTTGTTTGGTCATCAAGGGTATAGTGTCAAGTTCAAGTTTTAAGTGTGGTTGTTCGCGTGGTTGTGGGTTTGGACCACGCTTTCCACTTCAATGCGCAGCACTGCGTGGCAGCAGTTTTTGCTGCGCACGCAACGCCTCGACGTCTCTGGAAGTTCAGTTCCGGAAAAACCGAAAGTGAAAGCTCCTGATGCTCTTCGAACATGCAATTCACGGAACGTGAAACTGAGCAAGAATGTTTGGCTTTTGGCCACTCGGTTTGCTTCGACAAGCTGCTATGCAAAATATCAATCGTTGCCTCGAATTTCCCAATTTGCATTGTTTTTGCTGACGTGGCTTCGACAAATTGACTTGCTCGGTCGGACTGATCCGCTACCCTTCGCACACAAGGACCCGTTAACTCAGAAGCCTTTCCCCTTTCGAATTTTCGCAACAACCGTTTCGGAAAACCCGAAACGTTGCAATTTCCTTCTTGTGTCGTTGCATTTCGGTCCACCCAGTGGACTGCGTTTTCGAAATCGGACCCGACTGCACCTCCGCTGATTGATCACTGGGAAGTCCACTCCCCCTGCAAAGGTCAAAAACTTTGAGCACAGCTTCTGCAGATCAATTAACTGACCTTCGATGGAAAGACTCATTTGTGCAAGCTCACTTGGAAACCTAAACGTTGCAAGCACCTTTATTTTTTTTGGCAGTCGGCGGGAATGGTTGGAGCAGATCTCAGACAAACAAGCTTCGGCGATTTGGAGTGGTTTGACGTACATTTAAAGGGCACGGCGCATTGCGCGGTAATTCATTAGCAACAAAAAGGGCGCTGCGCTCCGCGTAGCACTCCTCAACAAAAGCAACAACAGCGAAGCCCACGCATTTCGCACGAACGGGCGCAAGTGGCCGTTGAACAACCAACCAAAGCAAGTGCTTTGCGATTCGGTTTCTTTGGAGCACAACAAGGTGGTGTACATGTTAAAACTTTCCTTACCATGTGGCAAGATGACGATGACGAAGGCTTTCCAAGCTTAGACTGACAACGGCGCGAACCCTTAATTTCTGTTGTTCAGATTTGCATAGCCATAAATCACGTCGAAGTTCGACAATGTGACAGTTTTGTCTGGAATTTGAGTGAACACATTATGAATGACTTTTTTCTTGGAATGATGCTTCCGTATCTTTTTGCTTGGCCCAAGCAGACAGGCTCAGGTTTATTCACAAGGGTTTGATGTCAATTAAGCCGGCAATGCTATGAGGTGTTGTTTGGTGACCATAGTGCCAACATGTGACAACTTGCATTTGCAACGTTAAGGAAGCTTTGTGTGTTTTCACCAGTTGTCATTGCTTTTGGATAATCTGTTTTTTGCACTGTTGCCTCGTGCACGCTAGTTTGTTGCAGAGTTGAAGTTAGACGCGCTCCGAAGCAACGTTCAAGTTCATGCGGAAACGTGCAACTCTAGTGTTTCGCGTCTCCTCTGGTCATGACCTGAAAACTGACGAACAGGCTTCGCAACAGCATGCTCGTGTTTTGCACCGTTTGGGTGGCCTGTGCATAATTCTCGCAGCGGTGTTCCCAGGATACTTCCTGCTACGTGTATGGGCTGTGCCGGCTCGGCCGGGGACTTCTGCTCGAAAGACATTTTGAAGGTAAGTTTCAAAACTCGAAGGTATCGAAGCAATTGCTTCACGATGAGCTGGAGGCCGCTGTGTCCGACAACTTGATATTCCTTTATTTGTGACTGAACTCCCTGTCTTCATCACGAGGAATATCAAGGTGGGATAGTCAAAAAGCAGTATGGCTGCTACAGCTGAACCGGTCGCTTGTCTGTGAGAGTGCCCTTGTTTGATCAACACAGGCCACAGAGCGGGAATTGGAATCAGAACGCCGAAGGCTCCAGGCTTGCCCGGGTCAGACAGCATGGATGAGATGTACCGCCATGTTTTGACAGGAGAAAGATTTGCAAATCGCCAGCGTGTCAGAATGTGCAGAGCCCGCATCAAGCACTCGCATTGTTGAAACATTCTCTGCAGATTGGTAGATTGACGATGGTTTGACATGCGAGGCCTACAGCGGCAATTGCTGGCTTCGGAACAGGTTGTTGTGCAAGTGCATGGCCATCGGTATCTTGCTCAAATACCGCCACTCGCAGGAGTCTGCAAAATCTCGCTCACTGGAAGACTTGCGCTCCGAGTGGCAGGAGCCTTTTTTTACTTGCAGACAACTGTAACAAGTTCGTATGCATTTGGCCGGACGACGTTCAGAACGCTATAGACCTTGGTTCACACCTGATCTTGCAGAAACTGAATGTCTCGACTTGAAACATGAGGGCACCTGATGGATGCACTTTTTCGCATGTCCGCAGCAACGTGTGTGCCAGTGGTCTACCGTGACAGTCGCAGGCCAAGCAGCAAGTACATGCAGAAGCTTTACGTACCCAGCTCCTTGGTGAAATCGATCTAGTTTCATCGCAACCGTAACTTCCACCGGTGAACCTGGCGAAGATTCATTGTATCATGAAGATGCATGTTCTGGTGCAAAAGCCTTGACGAACTCATGCCGATCAGGAAGGAAAGACTCTGCAAGCACCACGAGGAGGACTAGACACCTAGAACAAGTGTCATCGGACTGCAAGGCTATGTTCGTGCATGTCCCAGCTAGGAGTTGCAAACCACACTCAAGGCCGGCAAGAGAGCTTTGAGTGGCAAGATTGTTGGTGCGACGTTGTTCAGCTTCTAGACGTACTGCTGGGTGGAGAAGTCCAGAGTTTCACAGGCTCGAGAAGAAGAGCTTTGTCGCAGTCTTGGCGATCAAGAGGAACGTGCTCAAGCAGAGGCAACTGCCGGGGACGCCCAAGGGTTTCTGGCAGAAAGAGTTCTGTGGCGGGGCCTGAGGCTGCCAGCCGACGTGAAGCAGAAGAAGTGGCATCCAAGCTGTATCATGCTGAAGCAGAGCACTGCGTTAGAGATTGTTCGTTGAGGCCAAAGCAGAAGTAGCAGCCAGAATGTCCGAGGCGGGAGCCGGATCGCAATACCAGTGCAACTGCAATCTTTTTCTGCATCTTTGTATGTGGATCTGGCAGTTGCCAATGGTGATTTGAGGAGTCTATGCGAGCAAATCTCACAATGCGGACAACCAGGTGCTAGCTAGTGGCCACTGTACTTGGACATCGAAGCACCAGTGTCACCCACCACCCGGCATCGCCCCGGAGGGCCTATCAACAAAAAGCACTTACTGCCTATGCTGTGCCTAGCGGGGTGTGGCGAGGAAGCTTCAAGCCAAAGGTTCGTAGCAACATAGACTAGATGTGCCTTGGGAGTTCTCCGGCAGAAAAGTGTAGGAATGATGAGCAAGTTGCAGGTCGAGGCCGCAGCTCAGAAGCAAGCCCAACGACATCGTGCAGAGGTGGAGGCGAGTCGTAGAAACTCATGGCTTGCCAAGCCTCCACTTCGACCTTCTGAAAGGCAGCCAGAAGTGAGCTTCAAATGCTTAAAAGCCAGGCTAAGTGCTGCGATTCATGCCGTGGTGGTTGCAAAACGTTTTTTGGATCCTTCCTCGGCATTCCGCTGCAGAATCAAGCTTGCGTCTTGAACTTGAACTGAAACTATCCCACGAGTCCTGCATCATAGAACGGAACTGTCGACCCGAGCACGAGAGCGCAAGCAAACGGATCCTTGGATACAGCAGTATCCACAGCCACCGCGTGCCATGCTAGCTCTTTTGGCACGCTCTCGGTGGCGCTTCCGCGGGACAGAAAATGCTTGTGCAGCCAGGCCACGAACGCAACTGCTTTTGCCGTGCGGCTGTGCAGAATTGCTTTTGATTTTCAGGCTTCAGCAGCGGTTTTTTGCAAGAGAGCCGGCAGATGGCACTCAAGGCCGGTCATCACACAGTCTGGCTCCAGTGACACTGTGACTCCCCACGCGAGAAGCTTCTCGGTCTGAGAAAGGCTTCAAGCGCTTCTACGAGCAAGTGCAGGAGTACAAGGCAGACGAAAGCAGGCTCTCGCAGATGTAGCTCGGACGCATGTTCCGTTTCCTGCCGGATGTGCTGCAGTGTCGGCAGACTGCGTGATGGCTGGGCATGGATCGGCTTCGTGGAGCACAAGCTCGAGAAGACAAAGCTCCAAGGAACAAAGATTCGAAGGACGGTTGCGGTTCTGTAGTGAGCACGAAATGCTGGGTGTTTGATTGAGCCGACTGTAGTCAAGGCCTACCTAGGACCCCAATACCTGTCATCGACTGCTCCGGCTATCTGGACGTTTGCCACACACATGATTTCCAAACCCTGAAGTCTGCAGAGAGTCGCAGAGAACTTGAGTAAAGACATCAAGAAGGATGTCAGACCGAATACCAACGGAGAGGAAACGGCTTGCAGGATTGACCTCGCCGTTTCATTCAGCGCACAAGGATCGACGCGATCAATACCCCATCATGTTCGGGCCATGACGCGATCAGTTGCACAGCACGACAGTATCTGTAAGACGAATATACTACCGAGTAGTACATAAGACTTCACTCATTGTCACTAAGTACAACCCAGTTCATGCTCTCCACAACTACAAAGCTTGGATGAAAATTGCATATGCCAGGCGGTTACAGTGCGTACAAAATCACATGGTGTGACTTTGGCATCGGCGGCGAGAGGATGTAGAGTTTCGGGTACTAGTTCAAAAATACTATGATACCATGATGCTATTGTTTTGGCTTTGGGGTTTTCGAAGCCCAGCTGCTTTTAGATGTTCGTGTAAGCCCTTGTGATGCGTCTTGATGAAGCAAGTGCAATGGGTGCTCGTTGATGGAGGGTACTTGGCCCTGTCAGGAAGCTGCGGTATCCGAATGATGCGGAGGGGCAGGCGAAAAAAGCCGAGCAGCAGAAGTATTGGCAAGACGTCAAGGTCGTGTGGATGCGAAAGCATTGCGTCCTCTTTCTTCTAGGAATGTCCTTGTGGTGGCCAGACATGGGTAATAGTGGCTTGCAGTGCAGGACATGTGAGCTGCTCCGGTCCATGAGAGTGACTCTGTGCGAGCTTCACTGTCCGTGCACAAAGCACGTGGTTCCGACTGGACTTCTTTTCGAAGGCCGTCGTAAGTACTGTCGTAGCATCCAGCTGTTTCACATTTTCTCACAGCGTCAATCGTTGAGAAAAGCGGGGAAGGCATGCTTCAATTTGCATGCTCATGTCCGTCTTTCACACATGTCTGTGTTCGTTGCACGCTAGTGTGCAGGTTGCTCCTCTCCGGGCTGAGCATGTTGAGGTGCCTTGTGGCTTTGCAGTCTCCTGCGCTTCCACACGAGCACAGAGCTCGAGATTGCTCGAGGCTATAGAGATGCTGCGGGAGGCCCGAAAGTCTCTCAAATCGGAGCAGGAGTGCACAAAGTGTCTCAGAAGAAACACATGTCTGTTGGCAGATGAAGATTTCATCTGGATCGTACTTTTGAATTGTTTGTGCTGATGTTTGGCTTCATCTGTGAGTTTCGAAGGAGGAACGTGCATCTGGAAGACATGCTGGCGACCTAGTTTGGCATGCAGTGATTGCGCGGACCAAGATCGCGTAGCGGTCATGCGGCCGCTGCGTGTGGCAGATTATGCTCGTTTTGCCACATGACTGCAAATAGGCCAGGCAAAAGCCGAAGTGAAACCTTGCGAACATGTTTAGGCGACGGCTTTGGAGGATCGCTTGGCAGAGGCTTTACCTCGCAGAGAGAGCTGCAGGTGGTTGGACCTTCTTCAACATGATGCCAGGCCTATCGTGAGCACGAGCGTGCTGAGCAAAGGCATGGTGACGTGACTTCGCCGTGAACCCAGTGTATTGCTTCACAGGCCTTCGAAGGCTTGGGGTGGGGACAAGCAGTCGGAGAAGGTTCCAACAATGGAGTAAACTTTCCACTTTGTTGTAGGACTGTAGGACTCTGCACGCACGCGATCGGGCTGTCTAGTACTTGCAGCCGCATCGAGATTTGCTCTGTGCTGCAAGACGCACCCGAGAAAATAAGTGACTGGGAGTGGAACATGGATCCTTTATTTTTCTGTACCCTCAAACACCAATAAGAAATAACAATAATATTAAAGATAATAATAATGATGGCGCCCCCCCCTTCCCGCGCACTCGAAAAAGAATGGGTCGGGAATGGAAAATGGATCCATTGTTTTCCTGTCACTAGAAACAACAAGAAAAAATAATAATGACGCTCCGCCCCCTCCCACGCCCTCGAATAATCGTGAATTGGAACTGGAAAACGGATCCATTATTTTCCTGTAACGAGAAACAACAAGAAATACTAATAATGGCACCCCCCTCCACCCACCATCGGTGAATAATGGATTGGAAATAGAAAATGGATCCGTTATTTTCCTGTAACTAGAAAAAACAAGAAAAAGTAACGAATAATGGCACCCCCGGCCCTCGGGAAAATAATGGAAATGGATCTATTATTTTCCGGAAACCAGAAACAACAAGAAAACCAAATAATCATAATGACGCTCCCCTCCCTCCCCCGCCCTCGGATTGGAAACGGAAAATGGATCCATTATTTTCCGGTAACTAGAAACAACAAGAAAAATAGAAGTAATGGAACCATCCCCTCCGCCCTCGAAAAATAATGGATTAATGGATTGGTAATGGAAAATGGATCCATGATTTTTTTTGTACCTAGAAACAACAAGAACATATAATAATACTGGCGCCCCCCGCCTCCCCCGCAATCAGAAAACAATGGGTTGGAAATGGACAATGGATCCATTATTTTCCTGCAACTAGAAACCACAAGAAAAAATAATATCCCCCTCTTCTCCCCCCCGGTCCCGGCATCTGGATAGTGAAACGAGCAAATGGCACAACTGTTGTTGCCCTTTTGTAGCAAATCAGCGCCTGTGCCAGAAGGCTGTATCAGAGGCTTCCAACCCTTTTCGAGAGATGGATTTGCAGCTCCCGGCCTCTAGAAAACTTTGTCGAAGGTCTGTTGAACTCTTCTGACAGCTGCAGGTAGTAGTGCTAGTAAGTAGCAGTAGTAGTAGTAGTAGTAGTAGTAGTAGTAGTAGTAGTAGTAAACAAATTTGACATTAGTTTTGTATCCGGAACCGTGTCAGTGATGGAACGGAGGTCTTCCCATCATCCGGTAGTCCTGGTTACCTGTCGGATGCATTCAGGTTCTTCAAGGTTCAGCTGCGAGACTTGCATGAAGAGCTCCAGACACGTGCAGAGGAGGGCAAATCGAGACGAACAGAATTACACCTGTCGAGTCGTTACAGCATCGGACAGGACCTGCGAGAGCGAGATGCGGTTGTCCTTCGCAGAGACCAGGTGCCTGCATGTGCCGCGGTTTGGAGTCTTCGGAGACTGTGGTCTTCTCAGGAGCTGGACGAAGTTAACGGCCAGCTAAAGGATTTGCAGGCAGTCCGTGCTATCCACAAAGTGCAAGATGTAAAGCGATTACGCATACCATGACATGATCCGGTCCAGGGCCTTTTCGACGAAGTGAATGGGCAGCTTCAGCACGAGTCGTCGTCCAATTACTTTTTTTTCGGTGACCTTGCTTGTGCAAGTAATGTTTTATCTGCAGATCTGCTTGACAGTGCTACTTAGATGTGGGCGCATCGAGCGTCTGCAAGGTGTGCGAACCTCAGTTGAGTACTTCATGCTGTTAGCTTCTTTGGCAGTCATCATATGATGGATGCACCAGGCTGTCACGCAGTGTGCGAAGCAAGCCAAAGAACTGGACTCCTTGCAGAACATGCTGGAGGTCTGAACAGAGAACTGTCAGCCTAGCTGTCCTTGCCTTCAGGTCGGGGCTTTGTTGTTCCTGTTTGCAATCGCTGCATAAGTGCTAGACCGCACCAAAGAGCGTCGAGGCAGGAATTAAAGTCACTTCGAGTGATCCAGAAGCCAGAGCAAGCACGATGTCCACCCAAAACCACTTCAAAGATCACGCGGCGCTGTGGCGAAGCCGATTCGTCAAACCGAAGACCTGATCGTGACTGTGCATTTGGTCGAACGGGTACACCGTCGAGCGTGCCTGCCGCGTGCACCTCGTGTTGACACTCCGTTTTTCCCCTTGACGTAAGAACCCTTTGTGCTACAATGCACGGTGGGTCGTTTCTGTGGCAGGTGGAATTTCTGGCCGAAACCGAAGATGGTGCCCCGCGTGTATTTGGGGGGTGCACATTCTTCACGCCACAGTCCCGTGCACGTCCGCCGTCCGAAATCGTGCTTGCTCACATTTTGAGGGGGCACTCCTTGCTCCTGCGACAGTTGTGGCGCGCATTTTGGACACATGGGCTGGTCTTGGGAGAGGTGCTCCTGGCTCTCGCGATTATAGGCTTTGGAAAGCTAGGTGCCCTTTTACTGCTAGAGGTCTGCACTGGCAGAAATCCATCAGGCATGCGATTGTAAGGCTGCGAGAAGCCCTTGCACGGGAGACTGGCTTGGGCTCCTAGAGAAACTAGAGAGGGGCTCTAAGTTGAATCCATAGCAGGGCTACTACACAGGCACTGGTTCCGGCAGCGGAGGTTAGAGGAGTAAGGCGGGGTTGAGGCAAGTTAGGTGGGCCGGAGTGATAGCTGAACACATCACGGGGGCCTTTGAGAGTTTCGGCTGTGGTGTGGGTTCTGGCTACTACGATTAGGGTCTAGAGAGTCAGCGGTTTAGATGTAGAATGTTTATTTATGAATGTTCCTGCTCGATTCGTCTCACAGCTTACTGACCGCTAGAGTGCCGGTATCCAACACCGCTTGCATCAACTCGCAGGAGTCCCATCGCATGCTTGCGCAGCTGCGTGAAACTCTCGAGAAGGCAAGTGCATGCGAGTTTCCTGCCCTATGCATATTTCAGAACCTCACGTTCGAGCACAGGAAAGAGCTGAGCGGATGAGGGTAGCGTCACTTCTGGAGCATGAGCAGCAAAGGCAGGAGTCCGATCCATAGCAGTCAATGAGCCCCTGTCTCTTGTGCACTCGAAGGACACAGCTGCTGCTGGACGTTCTGAAGCATTTCAAGGACATCACGTCCTCTTGTGAGTTGACCGGTGCAGTGGCAGTGCTCTTCCTCCACGCAGGAGAAGCTTCAGGGTCTCACTCCGCAGATGCTGCTTAGTTGGATGCCCAGGAGAGAGGCAAGGGAGCGTTTCGCCAATCTGGGATCAGTGAGGTCGGCTCGGCGTCAGCGATCCGAAGGCTGGGCGGAGCATGCGACAGCCCAGCTCCGGCACACGAAGAGCAAAGCGCGACAGAGGCGTTGCTGTCAAGCCCAACGCTCTCAGCTCAGCCGGGTTTGGATGAACCGCATCTATATGTCGCGAAACTTCAAGCTGAGGCTGAACAAGTTGATCAGCGAAGCATCATCGGATCTGGCACCTGTTCTCGGCCTGGAAAGCTCCGGCATGGACGGGAAGTCCGTGAGAGCTCCACGTGGTTCCGTGTCGCCGTGGCGTCGGCGTCTCGAAGAGCTTCGCTTTCACATGGCCAGCCATGCACCCGACATGTCCCTTATAAGGACCGCGAGGTCCTGGTCCATGCCGTGGTGCTGTGCCGAACTTAGAGGAAGGGAGCCGAGGACTCGCCAAGAGTCTTGAAGAAGAACCGTCGCGACTGGCGGGTGTCAGGCGGAATCGCCCTGGCGCGCTCCCACGGCAGCCTTTGAGGCACCGGATACACTGAGAATCGTGAGTCCGCGAACCAGGATAGAGCCGAATCCGCTCGAAGCTAACCCAGGGAGTGACGTCAGGAGACCCGGAGCCGAAACAAGACACCGATAACTGAGACAACTAGCTGAAAACACGAGCTGCGTTCCCAGAAGCAAGACGTGGCAAGTTCGACAACGAGGGTACTGCCACAAGACAGACCTGTTGTAGCGTGGCATCGCCTGGCTTTAGTAGCCTTGCTGCGACAGGAACAGGAAGCTCGGCTCGGGTAGCGATTCGTGTGGAACTGCGGGATTTCCTCTCTTTGGCTTTTTGAGGCTTTCAGGCCGTCTCTACCATGGCCATGGAATGATAGTGCAGTGCCACTCGTGCTACTGAGATTTCGGCTTGCTATCCGTCGCTCCTTCAAGGTGGTAGGCATGCAGTTGCGTGCTGTTAGGCATCGGATGCTTTCCAGGGTCGAAAGCATCCAAGCAAAAGCAGACTCCTTCCTCGTCAGGTTTCTAGTTTGGTGTGCATACTCTGGGTTTTGGGGCTTGGCTTGCTTGCGCAGCACACCAGGCACCTCCGGAGCCCTGTGTGCCTGTTTCACAAAGGTCCTGAGCTCATCTGCTGTTTGCTTTCACGAGCATTCCCCGGACCGAAATCTGCATCTGCATGAGGCAGCTTCGACCCACAGGGGCTAGCGCAGCCCCACAAACTGGCGTTGCACGTGGCGAATCATAGATCCAGAGCCGGCTGTCACGAACTCCTTGTCGATGATGCGGAATGTCAATAGCTAGCCGATAGAGGGTGGGTGCACTCCAACAGCCGCGCAGTAGTTTCACACTGTACAGTACGACTAGGAGATGTGCATATCGCTTAGTTGAATTAGGTGCTGTTGGGCCCGAAAGGTCTCTAATTTGGAAGGGGCTTTCTCAAGTTGCTCGCGTCACAGTTCCAAAAGAAAGATGTGGGTTATCCAAGTTGTTCGGCATCCCGCCGCGACAGATCTGTACTATGATGAAGACGCTCTCGCGTAAGTTTTCTTTGGCAGGTTGTGGTTGAGTAGACTGTGCAATCTGCTGGCATACGAAGGCATGTTTGTGGCCTTTAAAACCTAGCGTGTAAGGATGATGCTGCTGTGCGAATGCCTTCCCAGAACTTACGGCTGCCTCGGGAATTTCTGACACTTGCCTACGGCCAAGGAATCTCTGCAAACTTGTTCTCGCACGAACATGTACATGTTGCACGGCCAAAATTACCGCCGGCTTCACGTTGGCTTTGTCAAGCTTGCGCTTCAGCGCACTATAGTGTCACGACTTCCAGCAGGCACAGATCCACAAGACTGCGACAGTCCTGAATTTGCAGAACCTATCGCAAGTGCTAAGTCTTAGGAGCTTGCTTCTTTCCTCTCTGCGCCGTTGGGCGTGCAGAGCGCTTGTGTTCCATGTTGCCGAGCACTCAGACAAGTCCTGAAACATGAGCTTCTAAGCAAAGCTGGACCGCGTAAGTCCAATGGACTGGGCATGACTGGGCTGTGCGTACAGGGAGCGAGCGAAAGAGGGAGAGAGGGAGGAGTGAGTGAGCGAAATGAGACCATGATGATTCTTTTTTCCGCGCATGTTCTGATCCCCGCCTCGATCACAGTTTTCGCGAGGAATGAGGGGGGCAGCGAGCGAGAGCGGTGGGATTTGGTGTAGCGCCTAGTGCACAGAGAGAACCACTGGAGGGACAACGCCGGAAGCACCTCCAAGCAAGAGAGCGCAGTCGTACGGATGGGCTTGGGCTTGATGCCCGTGAGGCTGACAAAAGGGCTCTGCCCTTCTCTTGACTGTGTGGCACCAGACAAAAGAGTTCATGTACTGGGGGGGGGGCGATCCTACTGCTGTTGGGCGAAGGCCCGAAAGGATACTCGAAAACTTTGGACTGCAGGTTCGCGCTCGCGCGCGAGGGGGGGACGTCCGTCTTCCCCTCCGTCCTGGCAGAGAGAGAGAGAGAGAGAGAGACAAAAGAGTTGCAAGCTTTCGACAAACTGCGAGTTTGAACGACAGAACCAGCAGCCGCCTTTCGTTCAGATGTGGCCGGGGGTAGGATATTTAGTGTTACTTCGGGGAGGCTCGAGTGTTGGGAGACAGCTGGCCTCATGAAAGCTTTGACGCCGAGACAAAGGAAACCAGGGCGCGCTTGCGCGAAAAGGGGGGCAGACCGCCTTCTCTTTGTGTGGAAGAAGACAAAAGAGACGGAACGGATTGCAGAGTGCTGCCCACGCTCAGTAAATGGTTGACTGGAGACCGAGACAAAGGAAATCGAGCCGGGATCTCGGATCTAGGCAAATAGACTTCGCCTACATTTGCCCACCTGTGGACTCTCTTCGGCCGCGAAATGTCGGTTTCTCTGCCAGGTCTTTGCCTCAGTGGCAGATGGTCTCCAGGCCCTGGTTTCTCGAACCGGCAACATCCTGCTCTCTTATCGCAGAAACACTCGCGAAGAACTTTTTCGTCTGTGCTGCGTTGCTGAAGGTGCTCTACAAAGACAGGTTGCTCCCAGTGGAGAAGGACTTCGGGACGAGCAGTTCGCTTCACATCATCTAACCTGTTATGCTTGCACACTACTGCATCCATGCGCAGGACTTCAGCTTTCCGCACTTCTTCTCGCCTGAGTTGACGGATGCCGATTTCTCTGCACGACCTATGGTATGTGCCTGAAATTGATGGTGGTATATCATTTGCAATTCCAGATTGAACACGACGACCTTTACACCGCCTTGGCCTGGGCTGAGGTTATGCTCACCGGCCAGTACTCGACTGGCAAAAGTGTTTTGGCATCGCGAAATGCAACTACCACCCCCCCTCCAGGCATTCCCTTGCAGGCTGTGCTTAAGCATAGAGCAACTATGATATGTTTTGCTAGACGATCTCTGGAATCCAAGGCACTTTCATCCGGCACCTGCTAGGGCACGCTGCCTTGTTTTGCTTCATGGCTTCGGCTCAGCTGCTGAATGCAGTGCACGGTCAGCTGTGCATCCAAGTTGTGTTTCAGAGTTCGTAGGGCTCGGTGGCCTGAGGGCGTGTCATGAGTCATGAGATTTGTTCTTAACATCGTTGATCGTAAGAACGCCGCCAGCGAGGCGGGACTACCCCGGATTGCGAATCGGCCCAGAGCCAACGACTGACAAATTCGTCGCTGTCTGCAAAGGCGATATGGATCAGGCACGCAGTGTCTCATTTCGCTTGCACGTGATGGCTGCCATCAGTCGCTTGCGATACTGCTCCTACTCTGCTCTCCGGAGGTTCTTTAGACTTTAGCCATCTGGCCCCCCAAAACGATCGGAGGTCATTCCAGGGAATGCCTTGGTTGTTGACAAATCCATGCCGTTCACGCAGCTGAGCCACTTCGGTCACCAAGCTGCAACTTCTTCAGTGGCGACTTCATGTGTACAGATTCTGTGAAAAAGCACGCTCTCAGCGGTGCTCTCGATGGCACCCCTTGCGAGGCAACAACTTTCTCACGCGTTTCGAATGCGCGAAGCTTGACAGTCCTGTTCTGAACGGGATGTCTCTCATCGACACAGTCCGCCCGGCGAGAGTTGAGTTAAGCAGAGCAGAGCAGGGCACAGACGAGTGGTGTGCAGTTTCTTGAAGCCGAAGCGTGTGAGCGTTTTGCCGCTCCTTCCTCCCTTTGCAGCCTGGGGTTCTCTCTGGCGAGAAGCAGCGGCTGAAGCGTCGGAGCCTCAACAGCCGAGGCTCCCTCGGTGTTCTGGGAGATATTTCCACAAAAGGTGTGTGTTTCTCTCTGTGTGTGTGTGTGTTTAAAAGAGAGACGCCCCAAAAAAGCGGGGGAACGTCGTAAGGCGGCTATGAGTTCGAGGCGGGAGCTCTGTGAGCTGTTGCGCATGGGACTCACTGGACTGCTTGGCGACCCTTCAGAGGACCTTCGAGAACGAAAGGCATTTTGCTCACAGCATTGCCAATGTCACACTACGAGCATGGAGCTACGGCGTAGTCAAGGATTTTTAGCTCTGAGTAGAAGCTGACACGACGCACCTTCCATAAGCAGCTTTCCAAAGTCCCCAAGAAGTTCAATGCTTCTTCCGTCGTGCACAGCAGTAGGGAGACTCCAGCCCAGAACGAAGCACTACGAGAAGCCACTTGCAGCGCGCCCTTTTCGCGCCAAGTTGCAGCAACCGTACACCAAGCCATCAGCCACATCAAGCACGCAGGTTTAGAGAACAACGGTAGGCAGCTGGTTTGTCCGATACTGATCTGCACAGAGTGCTGCGTCCGAAGCTTGGTTAGTTGCAGAGTAAGAAGCCTGGGAAAGTGGTTGCAGGGCTAACTCAGTGCAGCCTTCAAGCATGATCTAGAACCCTTCATGCAGTCAAATGCGAGCAACACTTACTGTAGGGTCGATCGGCTTTCATCAGTTGCACCTGTGTCATGTTCATGCTTGGAGCATGCTGTCCGTTTCTTGCTGAGGCAATCGATGATGGCTTCCACTGTCCTTGTTGCTTGGCTGGGTCGGTGCAACACGAATGTGATCTGAAAGCTGCATAATATGGTAGTTGACCTACAGGACCTTCAGGCAAAATGTATATGAAGCCCTATCTCCATTGCCAGATGAGATGCCTTCACAAAGTTCCTTCATGCTGCCTTGAAAGTAAACATGTTTCGGGCGAAAGTTGTCTACTCACCACCACCACCACCACCACCACCACGACTACTACTACTACTACTACTACTACTACTACTACTGCGACTGCTGCTGCTACTACTACTAGTACTGCTACTACTACTAACTACTACTACTACTACTACTACTACTACTACTACTACTAGTGCTACTACTACTAGTGCTACTACTACCACTACTACTACTACTACTACTACTACTACTACTACGACTACGACTAC